ACTATGTCCCAAAGTTTCGATACTCTTGAAAGAGTATTGATTCTCTTATCAGAAACTCACAAATTTACCCAAAATGAAGAACATGTATCGATACTATCCCTATAGTATCGATACTCTACCTGCAGAAGTCATAAAACATGTACGAAAAACTCTATTTCTTAATCCCAAAGATCTTAGTCAGGTCCCCAAACATGCTTAAAGTTTTATGTGAATACAAGGAGCATAAATAAGGCTTTATACCATGCTTATAACATCAAATGAATAATCTACCATGAAAATTTCTAAACATGCTTTAAACTTAACTTTTTAACACTTCTTAACTTTCCATGATCTACACTTGGTATGAGAAAGCTACAAGCGTGTTACCTTATTACCTTGGCTACTAAAACACCTTTTGAATCAACTAGGAGCCACCTACCTTCAAGAAAAACCCATTTTGAAAACAAAATCTAAAACTCATAAAATGGAGCTTGAAACAAAGCTTGAAGGATGTAGAGAAACATTCTCACCTTAGGTTAGCAACCCCACACTTATAACTCTTAATATCTCAACATGTAAGGAAAAAGAAAGAAATGAATTATGGAAGAAGCAAGAGAAGTATATGGTGAAGAGGTAATGAGGGTGATTCACGTATAAGATATAAAAAGGAACGAGTTTTCAACTTTTAGTTTTAACTATGGGCAAACTACATTATTAGGCCCCTAACTTCTAAATCATAAAACTCTTATCACTTAACTACAATTCCCTTAGGAATCAACTCAAGCCCACTAACACTAAACTTGGTCCAACTAATTTATAAAGTCTTTTGGGCTCAACTTTGGGTCTCGGGTTGACCCAAACTACTAACCCAGGATTCGAAGTGTTATAAAATCCATTTATAAATTCAAGTATTACTCTCGTTAATTGTATAACAGACTTTACCAAGTGATTGTCTCGTTTGGTTTTGAGATGAATTTGGTTGATAACTGTATATATTAGAAGTTTAGTGGGAATAAATTAAAAAATACCCCTTGTTGCTAAAAGAACCAAGTTTAGTCTTGATCAGTGCCCTAAGGATGATTTTGAAACAAAGGAAATGTAAAAGGTTCCTTATGATTCAAAATAAATAAAGAATTTAATGTATACTCTGGTTTATACGCATTCATATATTGCATATGATTTTATGATATTAAACAAATATTTAAACAATTTTGGTATGGATCGTTGGATATCATCCAAATAGATTCATACAATATGCTCACATATCGGAGGTCTATTAAGTAAGAGATCTTCAGGTTTATGGACTTCGACTTATTGGAATATGAATGCAAAATCTTGTCATGTGAACTGCTAATTATGGATTGATAAAAAATACCACTTGAGTTATTTTGTGACAACTAAGTTGCATTCTTTTTTTCCATATATAACAGAAACATCTTAAGTCTAAGCACATAGACATTATGTTTCTGGTTCTTAAAGAAAATTCTGAGTGATTATGTGTTTATAGAGCATGTTGGTACAAACTCATAACTATGTGTTTACTAAAGAACTGTCACCCAAGGTCTTTCATGAGTACACTACTCATGTGGGTGTAATATCATTTAAGGATATTCGGTTTTAGTAGTAGTTTATAATTTTAATGCTCGTTTATTATAAACACAACTTCAGTTTAAGGATATTTATTTTAAAGTTATTTTATACAGAAGTAAAAGTTTGTTTCGGTTTATCCACTTTGGTTTTGGTAAAATTTGATCTCACTAATGTGTAAAGAGGACCAGTTGTAAATAGACATGTGCGATTCACATTGCATGTAATTTTCATACTACGCTCCATGATTGATCTATGTCATTTGACTGTGTTTGTATATAGATATAGTTGATAGACGAGATTGTTATAGAATACTTATTATATGATAGCAAATTTTGAGCTCTTAAGGTTGAACATTTGTCAGGAAACATATGTTGCCCTAGTGAGAGATTATTGGATTAAAATCCATATTTGTGGGAACATATGTATAATGTACAATGTTATCATAAAGTATGACACAAAATTAAGTGATCAATTATGTCATATGTGTTATATGTATTAAAGCTTCATGGAATGAAACTGCAGATACCATAAGTTGTATTTATAATTTGATGAGGGACATAATTATAAGTACTTAAAAGATTGACCTAATACTCAATATATATAAAGAAGTAGTGGTCCACAAGAAATATGTTAACTTGTATTACTCTTATCCCGTCAGAGATGTTTTACGACAATAGCAAACCTATCTTCTTGGAAGATCACAACCAAAGAAAAACTTAAAGATTTCAATCTATCAATTAATTCAGGTACACTTCCGCAAATCTAATATTTTATTCTTGATGATTTGATTTTAGTTCTAACAAAATATAATAATGCTTAAATTAAAATAAATATAAAAAATGTACATATGACATGATTTAACAAGATAAAATTTAAATTTTATTTAAAAGAAATTCAAATGTAAGTTAAAGAGTCATCAAAATCTAAATATTATTTTAGAGATATTATTTCAACTATTTAATTACTAATAATTATAGAAAAGTACGAGCAAATTGATGAATCTTTGGTCCTTCGGATGCATGCAAAATTCTTGCCTTTTCTATATGTTTTTTTATTAAGGAAAAAACAAATAAAATTTCCAATCCATGCTTTAATTTTAATTTTAATTTTAATTTTAATTTTATACAAGTCTTTGGCTCGTGCCTCGTTGTCTTTTATTTCTTTTGATTTTCCGCTTTGTGTGGTCGATATATGGCCTACAAGTTTCATGCCTTCTAGTTTTTTTTAGCAAAAGTCAACATCTTGACGTCATACATGACCTTTGCAATAATAATAATAATTAGAACAAACAAGATGAATTATTACTCGATCAAAATACTGTTATTATTTAAAATAACTAGAATTTATTCAAGATATTCATTTTTTAACTAAATAATTAAATATTTACTTATCATGGTATTAAAAAAAAGTAAATTACACCATTGATCACTCAACTATGTAATTCTTTTATTTTTTTGTTATCGGTCTTTTAATTTTATCAATCGTACTACTTAACTATTTAAATGTGTTCAATCAAGCCACTAATCATTACTAGTTAACGGAAATGATGATGTAGTAGTTAGAGAAATTGATGTAATTATGCATTTAGTCCTTAATGTTTATATATTCTATTAATTTGGTCCTAATTTAAATTTAATTTAATAAATTTAATCCTCTAATCATATTGTGACACGTGTCACACATGTCACCCTCGGATTAGATAGAAAATTAAGAATGAAAGAAACCCCCCAAATGAGGTAGGGGAATCAAACCTGGGTAAGCATGTGTGTTAAGCCAACACCCAAACCACCAAGCTAGGAACATTGTTTAGTTTCAAGATGCAACATATATATAACATATTGTAATGAATGAGAAAAAAAGTTAAAAAAGAAGCAATAATTTTTCATTTGTGTTGTGACACATGTCACAATATGATTAGAGGATTAAATTTATTAAATTAAATTTAAATTAAGACCAAATTGATAGAATATATAAACATTAAGGACTAAATGCATAATTACGTCAACTTCTTTAACTGCCACATCAGCATTTTCGTTAACCATTAATGGTTGGTGGCTTGATCGAACACATTTAAATAGTTAAGTAGCATGCTTGACAAAATTGAAAGATCGATGGCAAAAATAAAAGGACTACATAGTTGAATGATCAATATTATATTTTACCCTTAAAAAAACCCAAATAGGAACATTAGTTACTAAAATAACGAAAATAAAAATTGTCTAGTTGAACTACAAATTTGGTTGCTATACCAGCTCACTTAACAAATAAATTAAAAACAAAATATTTAAAAAAAAATTAAATTAATAGGACACGTGTTTTATTTACACGTAAGGTTAAATCATAAATGCTAGTGTACAGTTACGTAAAACAAGGTTCAAGCTCTAGGGTTTTAGCCTTTAGTTGTAGTTCCGTTACATGCATTGTATTTAATTTGTATTTTTTTTTTAATTTTTTGAATTATCGGAGGTCTTTCACGAAAGTTGCTCTCAACCTGATGTTGGAGGCATCCTACTAACCTCATAAATGCTAGTGTACAGTTACGTAAAACAAGGTTCAAGCTCTAGGGTTTTAGCCTCAACCTGATGTTGGAGGCATCCTACTAACCTCCCTCCCTCCCTCTTACCCCATTGCATATGAGAATATGGTTTTGTTGTTGTTATTATTGTAGTAGTTCCGTTATATTATGGTTTTATTATGTTTTCAGCCATTGTACTATTCAAAATTTTAAAATTAGTCTTTCTCTTTTCAATTTTTAAAATCAATATTCCGTTTAGTTTTTGAAAAATTGATGAATAAAATAAATGTTTGTTTAAGGAAAAATTCATTGTTTATATTTTTTAAGAAAATAATAACGAAAAAAATATGTTTTCTAAAATCAAACACAACTGTTGAAGAATCGGATAAAGAAAACAAAAAAACGCAAGAATTTTTAACGATGTTCAACAATGTGCTTACATCCTCGATGCCCTGGGCGATGCTAGATTTTTCATTCAATATCTCATAGGTTCACTTCGCTCCATCCTCTGTCCTCTTTACCGGTATATTTATGAGTCATACCTAACAACAACTTTTAGTATCTAACTTTCTATGCTTGTTTGATTTAAAAAAAATAATTCACTTAGAAAATTTATTCTTAAATCATACAAATAAATGATTAAATTTACATAACTAAAACTAAAGAGACTCAATTTCCAAAGTCTAAAGAGTGCAGTGACTAAAACCATGATTAAATCTTACCATATCATTACTGTTATATTATTTTTTGAGATTCGTTACTATTATATTAAAAGCCAATAAACAATGCTGTGAAAAAGAAATCTGTCATTTTCATGTGTTTTGAGTTCCAGATGCGTTGATGACCAAAGTGTTCATTTTTTTCTCTCTTTTGTCTTTTTTGAATTAAAAACAGCTTCCTGACATATCCCATTAGTCAAACTTCCTGACAATGAAAACTGGAAAAAGGGACTTTTTAACAATCAAATCTTGTCCACGGATAATCGATCTCCTTTGGATTCTCTTTCGTTTCTATGTTTATCTGAATCTAGCTTGCTTTCTTTTCTAATCTGTCCAGGGGTGTTGCATGTGCTTAGTAGTTTTTGTTTATACAAGGTGATCTTTTGGAATTCATATGAACATCCTCTGTTTGGAAGGGTGGAAAGTGTAGGAAAGCACGACAGAAAGTTAATATCTCAAGTTCAGTTTTCTGGGTCTTCTTCTTCGGTCATTTGGGTCAAACTTTTCCTGATTTTCTCTTGAGAAGAAACATATCTAATCCTAAGTGATAGATTATTAACACGATTTTGTAATTTGTTTTCTGAGATAAAGGATTAAACACTTGATGCATGGTGAAAGTTCCTGATATAGAAAGCAAGGATCTTCATGCTGTACTATTTCAATTGCACGTTAGTGAATTTTGTGTTATTTTTTTATTTCTGTGTTTTACAGAGGTAAAGGTCATGGATGGGAATGGAAGAGTTCACCCAGATTGTCCTAATGCTGCAAATCCATACCATGAATGTGGTGTCCTCTGCTTAGAGAAGATTGCCGAAGGCAAGGGAACAAAGGCACAGGAAAAGAAGACATTAAGTAATCAAATCCCATCCTTTCTTAGCTGTTTTTTTAATTAATACAATCTCTGTTAAATGTTTAATGGAGAAAACGCCTTCACCTTGAGCTTCATGTGCTATTGATTCATTCACTGTGAAGGCTTCTTTTCCTTTGCTGAGTCATTTATGGAAATTTGTTGGTCTTGAAACCATAGATATCATCATTGATCTAAAGAGAGTTTTGATCTAGCTGTCATGCTGGTCCATCACTAATTTGCGCCTTAGAAAGAACTAAGGCAATTAATTCGCTCGAATTTCGTCTGACAGGCGACGTGCAAGTACAAGAAAGATGTCTCATGGAGAAAAACCATGTTCCTGACTACTGTTTTTATAATTGTAGGTTCAAAATTTCTTGATGCCTCCAGAAGCTTTGGTAGGAAAAAGAAATTTGAACCTATACCACAGACCCCTCGAGCACTTGCAGCCGGTGCAGTTTACCCCGGCGACTCTAGGTCGCCTCGGTCTTATTTTTCTAGTAAGAAGACGGTTGCAGAGAACGGTGAGTCGTTTTCATCTTCTGAGCAACACTCCGGAGAGATTTATCCCCAAGATCAATCATTTGAGAAGGCACCAATTCAATACTCTCAACCATTGCAGATGTCCGGAAAACTCATGGTAGGATCCTCTCTTTCTAATAGGAAAACTCGCACTCCATCGCATACGGACGCATTAGCTATTCTCGGTTTTGTATTAACGTGAATCATCACTTATCCTGTTTTCTCTTACAGTCTCCTGTTGATGCATCGGCCAAACTTAAACAAGAAGAGAAGGTACAAGATTCCCTGAAGATGAGTTCGAATGCACATACTAAGGATGCAAGAGAAGGCCGTAACTCCGCCTTTAGTTTCTTAGGAATTGGCCAAGCTCAAGATGACAGTGACGACGAGGAAGAGGCCGAATCGGTTATCTCCGATTCGTGTGTATCAGTCGGAAAATACTATGTGAAAGCAAGCATCTCCACAGTTCTGCAGTCGATTTTCGACAAGCACGGAGACATAGCAGCTAATTGTCATTTGGAATCAGCTTCGATGCGTGCTTACTATCTAGAATGCTTGTGTGCTGTAGTCCAAGAGCTACATTCCACTCCGTTCAAGCATCTAACTAAAGCAAAATTAAAAGAGATGTTTGCTGTTCTCAAGGATGTAGATTCCGCTGGTATTGATGTCGATTGGCTCCGTGCTCTACTCGATGAAATCTCGGAAGCCGTCGAGCTTGTTAGCCAACGCCAAACTTTTGAAGCCAAAAAGGCCAAGCACGACCAAGCGTTAGAGTCAGTAAGGAAAGAACTAGAATTGAAAACGGAAGATCTAGCTCAGAAAGAAAAAGAGGCCGCCGTTGCACGAGAGCAAGTTGCTGAAACCCGGGCTCGTTTAGACGAAATTGAGCGTCAAAGTTCGGAATTAGACAAAACCCTTTCGAACATAGCGTCGATCGTGGATAAATTCCAGGGCAAATCTCTGGGAGACGAGTTCTTGTGATGGTGTTTGATGAGCAAGACATTAGTATTTTGATATATTGATGTTATTTATCATTTATATTTGTGTAGAGCACGATTTGGTAAATAGGCTTTGGACGAGTACCTGAATGCGTACTCTCAGCTCAGTCCTTTTAAAATGGTCTAAAGTAGTTCCTAAACTCCAAAGTGTTTTAATTGAGTTTTCTATGCATCATTACTATATCAATCAATTTCTTACGTCGTTTTATTCATCACTTACACGTTAAACGTGCAATCTAGTATATGTTTACCTACTGCATGATCCATTTGTATCATAAATGTTTTTTTAATATAATTATTTCACACGAATTAACTTACCTCAGTAATCAGTAGTTAAATGAATCATTGTTCTTCATAAATTTTACAAGTTCAAACACCGACTGCTAAATGTAATTACCTCAACTTATTAAAAAAACATAATTATCGCAATCTAATATCTAATTTAGGCAAAATATTTGTATTAAAAAAAAATCAAATGTGCCATTGAATTTAAAAAAATAGTTTGTTTCTCGAACTTTAAAATCAATTTAATTCATTTATCATGTCATCAATCACGTTATTAGTTATCGTGAACTGTCACGTTAGCATCTTGGACTGCCATATTAACACCATAAAATGTCACGTCAATATTCAAATGGTTAACGACTAAAACCGTTAGTCAAAGAGTCACATTAGGTTCTCTTTCTAAGTTTTATGACTACATTAAGTGCAAAAAATATTCGAGTCACATTAGTTTTTTTTAAAAGTATAGGAGCCTCAAATACCCTCCTGCCAAAATTTTATTATATGCAAATTTAATTTTTCAAATACCAATCCATAATGATGATTAGACTTTAAATAAATACATTATATAAAATAAATTTAAATAAAATACAATCTCATTTACAAACTGAGAATCAATCTAGTGGATGAATTTCTTGATTCATTAAATAATGTCCAAAGTTTAAATCTCGAGAGTTGAGATTGCAAATCACCTATTCTGAATTAATCAATTAATAATTTAAATATATATATAATTATATTAAAAAGTAATTATATAAACTTTCTCAATTTAAAACCTAAATTTTCTTTTGTATACTTTGACCCTTAAAGCTATTTTTTACTTTACCCAAAAGGGAACACCCGACAAGAACGTTTTGCATGTCATATACTTATTGATTTTTTTTTACAACTTGGTACATACTAAGACTAAATGATAGTTTTTCTTTTTACAAGAAACACATTGAGTGGCATTAGTCATAAAAGGAGTGTTGATAATTTTGGAGGTATCGAATTTGAGTAGTTACGTACGTAAGATATATACACATTCAATATCACTTAACTAAAAACTTTCTAAATAAATATTACCTAATAATCATCGAGGCTAAATGATAATAGAATAAAAAGGTTTAGTTATAAAAAAATGATATAGGGACTAAATCATAAAAATTTCAGTTAACGTCTCGTGTTACCAACTGCCAAAACCCTTATCTTCAAAACACAGTTCCTCACTCTCTGCTTTCGAAGAGATAAAAGGGAAACCATGGAAAGGCTTTCATACTCGTTTTCTCCAACCCCTTTGCAAATCTCTCGAAAGCCTTCTCCTTTCACTTATCGACTCGCCAATTCCGACTCTCCTAAACTCAGTTTTGCACCTTCTCTCGCTCGACCTCAACTCAGACGAGTCAGATCAATTTCATGCAAGACAAATGACCCATCTCAGTTTTCTCGTGTTCAATACAATGCAAGCTATGAATTGTCTTCAATCGTTTCTCCCCTAGCCGGAACAGGAAATGGGTCAAAACTCGGTTCCAATATCCTCAAGCTTATTGCAATGGGCGCTTCTTCCAAAAGAAAGGTGTGAAATTTATGCAAGTTTTTAGTGAAATTATTGTTTGATTAACAGAAGGTAGGATGAAGGCATTTTCAGAGTCTTTTTCCCCCTTTCATTTTAACTAGTTTAATCGTTTCCTAGTCATCCATGCATGCATGTATGCATGTATGCGTATGTATATGGGGGATTAGTGATGTTTTGGCAAATATGGACCTTTAGTATTCAATATGTATGTATGCATGTGTGTTTGTGGCAGAGTTATTTATCCATCATCATTCCAGTTGAACATTTTAGCATGAACTTGAAATTACCATGCATTGTGTAAAAATCGGCATAATTTGCAGTTTATTTGGATTAAAATTCAATGTGGAATTCGAACAATGTGTTGTCCTCTTCATTTACAAAGGGTTCAAACAATTTTCTGTTCTTCAAAATTTTCAGGCAATCACGGATTGGGCGATGTCTGTTGCTCTCTATGCAGTTATCATGTTCTTGATTCAACCGATTTTCGCACCAACAGCCTTCGCAACCTTTCAAATCGCCGCCAAAACTAGTGGAACTGCAGCTAGGGGCAGACTAATCTATGTCAAGTTATTAAGTAGTGAGTGGACTGGTTTCTTTTCCGGTTGTTTCCACACCCTGTCAGGGCCAGACCACCTTATGGCTTTGGCTCCGCTATCGATCGGACGTACACGGATGGGAAACGCTGTTGTTGGAGCTCTGTGGGGTTTTGGTATGATGCTGGTCAGGTAATCTTTGGTCTCATATTTCTACTTCTAAAGGACAGGCTCCAAATTGAAGTCATCCGGACCTGGGGTACAAGGGTGTTGGGCTTAACATTGCTCGTTGTCGGAGCTATTGGTATAAGTGAAGCTTCTGAAGTTCCCGCTCCCTGCGTTGCCATAGGAAACATTAAGTGTGATGTTAGTGTTTACGGAACACTCGATATTGGAAAACGTAAGCGATGTCTGTTGCTCTCTATACAGTTATCATGTTCTTGATTCAACCGATTTTCGCACCAGCAGCCTTCGCAACCTTTCAAATCACCGCCAAAACTAGTGGAACTGCAGCTGGGGGCAGACTAATCCATGTCCAGTTATTAAGTAGTGCGTGGACTGGTTTCTTTTCCGGTTGTTTGCACACCCTGTCAGGGCCAGACCACCTTGTGGCTTTGGCTCCGCTATCGATCGGACGTACACGGATGGGAAGCGCTGTTGTTGGAGCTCTGTGGGGTTTTGGCCATGATGCTGGTCAGGTAATCTTTGGTCTCATATTTCTACTTCTAAAGGAAAGACTCCAAATTGAAGTCATCCGGACCTGGGGTACAAGGGTGGTGGGCTTAACATTGCTCGTTGTCGGAGCTATTGGTATAAGTGAAGCTTCTGAAGTTCCCACTCCCTGCGTTGCCATAGGAAACAGTGAGTGTGATGTTAGTGTTTACGGAACACTCGATATTGGAAAACGTAAGCGATGTCTGTTGCTCTCTATGCAGTTATCATATTCTTGATTCAACTGATTTTCGCACCAGCAGCCTTCGCAACCTTTCAAATCGCCGCCAAAACTAGTGGAACTGCACCTGGGGGCAGATTAATCCATGTCCAGTTATTAAGTATTGCGTGGACTGGTTTCTTTTCCCGTTGTTTGCACACCCTGTCAGGGCCAGACCACCTTATGGCTTTGGCTTCGCTATCGATCGGACGTACACGGATGAGAAGCGCTGTTGTTGGAGCTCTGTGGGGGGTTTTGGCCATGATGCTGGTCAGGTAATCTTTGGTCTCATATTTCTAGTTCTAAAGGACAGGCTCCAAATTGAAGTCATCCGGACCTGGGGTACAAGGGTGGTGGGCTTAACATTGCTCGTTGTCGGAGCTATTGGTATAAATGAAGCTTCTGAAGTTCCCGCTCCCTGTGTTTCCATAGGAAACAGTGAGTGTGATGTTAGTGTTTACGGAACACTCGATATTGGAAAATGTATAAGCTGAAAGAATAGACTGAATTCATTGATTTCTCACTTACAAACAGACCATTTTATAGCTAATGAAATTAGTATGTTAAACTAACAATATATGCTAACAGACTAACAACTTTGGCGCCTAAGCTAACTAACTATACTATAGTGCAAGCACATACACAACAATTCTGTTATAGACTAACATTCTCCCTACTTTCTCAACCTTCCTGATGAAAAGATGAACAATTGAATCGAAAGTGCTTATGCTTCCTCCCGTTCACTTGAATCGAAAGTGCCGATGCTTCCTTCCGTTCACTTGAATCGAAAGTGCCAATGCTTCCTTTCGTTCTTCTTATTCACCTTCATTTCTTTCTTCTTCATCCTTTTATACAAGGACCCTTTTGTTGGGACATACAAAAGATAAGTGTTATAAACTACATGGTTACCCTCGAGAGTATAGTTCTCGTTCTAAGACTTCTCATGTTGCGTCTACTGATGTAGTTTCTGAATCTTCAGGCTATGTTTGTACTAGTAATACTGGTAATGTCAATGGTACTAGTAATAACAACAGTACTACAACTGATTACTTACCACACAACAATGTCAACAACTTATTGCCATGCTTACCACAAAATTATAAACTGCTTCATTTTCTGATATACCCTCCGCATCCATTAATCTCTCCATGCAAGGGACTTACGGGCAGCTTCCTCGATTGTAACTCTAACAGGTTTTCCATCGAATAGTTTCTGGGCAGTTACATTCGGTGCACAAGAAGACAGTGAAGGAAGCGAGCCATCAAGACCTTGGAGATAAGAGACTGTACATGCATCTTCTTTACAAAGTAAGACTTCATTTACCTCTGAAAAAATGACGGCGTGGAGAGGAATTGAAACTCAGGTCTTTTCGCGCCAACGGGAAAGAAGAAAATAAATCACGGAGAAGAAGAGTATAACGAACACCGCATTCGTTAGATACAAAGGAAGGGGTAATGCATCAGAAGCTTAGGCGGTATCTTCCACTACAGAAATCCCCTTCATTTGTCTGACAGCATGAACCAGTTTAGTCTCTGTACGCCAGCGGCCTTCCGTTTTAAGCGATGCTGGAAACGGAAGCCGGTGGCAACAGAGGAGGATGCAGCGGACGAAAAATAAGGTCAGGACCGTTTGGCGAATGATACCATATTGGAAAACGTATAAGCTGAAAGAATAGACTGAATTCATTGATTTCTCACTTACAAGCACACCATTTTATAGCTAATGAAACTAACATGTTAAACTAACAATATATGCTAACAGACTAACAACTTTCGCGCCTAAGCTAACTAACTATACTATAGTGCAAGCACGTACACAACAGTTCTGTTATAGCCTAACACTCGAAAATCCGGCAATCTGAAAAAAAAAGATTGGTTTTGCCACAGGGATCTTTCACGGATTGCATCCATCGCACTAAAGATGGTTTTTCCAGCATTCGCATTGCCGCCTCTCTCGGCCGGCGCCGCGTTCCTCGTTATGTTCTTGCTCAGAACCGTAGTGGCAATGGGAAGCTATACGGTGTTTATCGGCACATGCAGTGAAGCATTAAAGGATAGGGTACTCGGAATCACTGAAAAACTCACTTGGGCTTCTTCCTTTATAGAAATTGCTCTTGGCATTGCCATTATCATTAGCCAATTTTTCGGATATAGTCTCTACTGATCTACTGATCTATCTAACTATTAATAGTCATCAAATACAGGTAGCTAGCTTAATCGACATCGTTATTGTTACAACAACCTAATTATCGTAAGTCCAAGCGTATTTAAACATGAATTTCATGTTTATAAAGTCATTTATGTCTTCTTAAATTGTTTAATTAAGATAAAATCAAGCTAATGAATCATCTGATCCTCCTTGCCTAAGAAATCAAAGCTTATATACTAGCTTTCTTTACCGTACTACAAACAGGCAATCAAGAAAAGCTGCACAATCTTTGCATGAATAAAGATGTCAACAAGGAAGGAACAGAACACACGAACTCCAAGAATTGCAACATTTACAGACCACAACAAATCATGTCTTCTTCTTCCTCAGTTTCTTCAGAGTAATACCGTGCATCATCGACTCCATTGTTGAAACAACAACCGGGTTGGTTTTGTTGTTGTTGTAATTGTTCGAGCTGTTGGAAATAGTAAAGAAAAGTGGGAAACTTTCGGTGGCTTTAAATGCACCGAAAGTTGCTTGTTGAAAATGGTTTTTGGCTTAATTACATTTTACCCATTACATACTTTAGGGTATTTACAAGATTAGTCCCTAAAGTTCAACTATAAATATCCTAACCCATTTAGCTTCAAAATCATCCCAAAATCCCAAATCATTTTTTCTCCCAATACTAGAGAGTTTTTTGTGAGTAGTGAGTGTTTTGTAAACACCTGTAAATTTTCTCTCTTAGTAAAATATCTACAGCAGTCCGGAGATGTAAGAACAATTGGCTGAACTCCGTTATCAATTTCAGGTATTAATTTTTCCGCTTTTATTTCGCATTCTCACTAATCTGGTTATAGGGAAATTACTTGTTACTCGGTTATTTCCCAACAACTGGTAATCAGAGCTTTTGGTTGTGAATTTTGTCAATTTTTTGCGAGGTTACTATTCATTAAAGTTTACGTGAATAGTGAATTTCGTGAATAGTAAAAAAATTTTGTCGGCGATACGAATTTGTTGACGAAGGTGTTCTAATACATGGTGGTTCACAAGAATTGTCAGAAACGATCCAAACGAAGCCAGATTCGAGTGGGAGCGATGGCTGCAGATGAAGGGAAGGTGAAAATTGAAAAGTTCGATGGTGCAGACTTTGGCTTTTGGAAGATGCAGATTGAAGATTTTCTGTACCAGAAAAATCTCTATCAACCTCTCTCAAGAAAGCAACTAGAGGGCATGAAGAATGAAGAATGAAGACTGGGCTCTTCTCGACATATAAGCCCTCGGAGTTATCCGACTAACGTTGTCCCGCAATGTTGCTTTCAACATAGCAAAGGAAAAGACTACAACGGGTCTTATGGCGGCTCTCTCCAGTATGTATGAGAAGCTATCGGCCTCAAACAAAGTTCATTTGATGAGGCAATTGTTCAATTTATGGATGGCAGAAGGGGCATCGGTGGCATAACACCTAAATGAACTCAACACAATCACAACCCAGTTGGGTTCAGTGGAAATTGAATTTGATGATGCAGTTCGAGCTTTAATTCTCTTATCAGCTCTACCAGACAGTTGGAATGCTACTGTTACATCAGTTAGCAGCTCGTCGGGAAATAACAAATTAAAATTCGACGATATTTGGGATCTGGTACTGAGCGAAGAAATTCGACGGAGAGAATCCGGTGAAACATCAACCTCCTCAGCCTTGTACACGAAGTCCATAGAGAGAACTTCAGAAAGAAATTCAAATCGTGGTAGATCCAAATCCAGAAGGGGAAAATCAATAACGGGAAAGAAATATTATACCTGTTATAATTGTGGCAAGAAGGATCACTTTAAAAGAGATTGTCGAGCACTGAAGAAAGATACCAGCGCACAGGATTCTACCAACGTGACAGATGAGACAGGTGATGCCATGATTCTAAGTGTCAACAGTCTGATTGAATCATGGATCTTGGATTCAGGGGCATCTTTCCACTCCACCTTATGCCGAGAAATCATGGAGAACTATGTCAGTGGTGATTTTAGGAAGGTTTATCTAGCTGATGATAAAACATTGAAGATCGTCAGAAAAGGAGACATCCGACTAAAGTTGCCAAACCAGAACACCTGGACACTGAAAGGAGTGAGACATATTCCTAGCCTCAAAAGAAATCTGATTTTTGTAGGACAACTTGATGGAGAAGGTTATAGTAAAACCTTTTTAGGCTGTGAATGGAAGATTATCAAAGGAGCACTCGTCATTATTTATGGTAAGAAGACTGGTACTCTCTATGTAACCTCAAACTTAGAGAATATCATTGCTACAACAGATCCTGATGGAAAATAAAACCTATGGCACCAAAGGCTTGGTCATATGAGCGAGAAAGGGATGAAGACACTTTTGTCAAAAGAGAAGCTGCCGGATCTAAAGAATATAGATGTCGGAATATGCGAGGATTGCATCTTTGGCAAACAAAAGAAAGTCAGTTTTGCAAAGATTGACAAGAAACCCAAGGCAGAAAAGTTAGAGTTGGTTTATACTGATGTATGGGGACCATCTCCAGTTCCATCTCTTGCAGGCTCACTATATTATGTCACCTTCATCTATGATTCTACAAGGAAGGTGTGGGTTTATTTTCTGAAGAATAAATCATAAGTCTTTGATACCTTCAGAAAATGGAAGGTCATGGTGGAAAATGAGACTGGTTTGAAAGTCAAGCGGTTGAGGTCTGATAATGGAGGAGAGTACAAAAATAGAAGATTCAAAGATTTCTGCGCAAACAATGGGATCAAGATGGAGACAACAGTTCCCATGACACCGCAACAGAATGGCGTAGCAGAGCGCATGACCAAAACTCT